CAATAGTGTTTGGATCAGTGGATTTTGAGCCATGCCCTCCCTTTGTATTTCTAAAATTCTGGTGACCCTCCCCCGTAATATTTAATTCTTAGATGTATTTGTTAAGCCTAGGATCACCACACTCTGGTTAGTGTATTTACTTGAACTTTAACTTTTACACTGGCTAAGACATCTATACAAATTTTGATAACAAAAATCCGATCAGAAATTTATACTCGGATGTTGTAGTTTGACCAAGATCTTAGAAGTAGCATTATTATAATCAGAGGCCAAATATTATAATAAAAACATAAGAAATCATCAGGTATCTGTCACTGCTATGATTGTCCGCTTTTCGCAACTCTGCTGGTCTTCAGAGCACAAGATTTCCAGCCTGACTTCTGGGTTCAAAGTGTAGTATCTGTAGATCCTTTTCAAAAATAATTTGTTCAAATCGAAGTTATTAATTTGATGCTGTTTTCAATTCTATTCTCACTGTCGGTCGATATTTATGTAATTCACAGTTCAAGTTATTTTTGACAATAGTGTTTGGATCAGTGGATTTTGAGCCATGTCCTCCTTTTGTATTTCTAAAATTCTAGTGACCCCACCTCCGTAATATTTAATTCTTAGACGTCTGCCAATTACACATGTACGTAGAGACACACACACAAATTATGTATGCATACTGTATGTGCATCGTATGTATTAACACACATTAACATTAATACTTTCACTCAGACTCACTATAAAACAATTCACTGTTAATAACTCATTCTCAAATTGCACCCTCTATCCTGTTGGTCCAGCTAAAGTTTGTCCATCCTACAAATGCCCCACTAAATTATTACCATGCCCCACAGGTGGGTCATGTGCCCCACGTTAGAAATCATTGGTTTAGATGAATAAAACTATAATAATAATAATAATAATAATGGATGATCTCAAACTCTTTGCCAAAGACTACAATGAGTTGAGAGGCCTCCTCAATATTGTAAAATACTTCAGTGACGACATAGGTATGGACTTCGGATTAGATAAATGTGCAAAAGTAACATTCAAGAAAGGTAGAATTACAGAAACACCCTTAATAGATTTAGATTTTGTCACAAAGATTAGGGAACTGGAGCATGATGAAGCTTATAAGTACCTAGGAATTAGCGAAGGAGATGACATACAACATCCCCAAATGAAGGAAAAAATAAGAAAAGAGTACTACAGGCGTGTACGTCTGGTACTAAATACTGAGCTAAACTCAAAAAACAGAATATCGCCCATAAACACATTGGCTGTCCCTGTGGTGCAATACAGCTTTAATGTCCTTAACTGGACCATAGCTGAAATTAAGCGAATGCATGCCAAATCGAGAAAGCTTCTCACTTGCTATTGCATGCATCATCCCAAAGCTAATGTTGATCGTCTGTATGTGCCCAGATCCGAAGGAGGCAGAGGATTAATTCAACTAGAACTGTCCTACAAAACTACAACAATTGGCCTCCAAAGATACTTGGAAACTACAGAAGACTGAATGATGGTATGCGTCAAGAGACATGAAAGTAGTAAGCGGCTTTTATCCGTAATAAAAGAAGCCAACAAATTCAAAATGGAGTTTCAAATGAGCGTAGAGATGCAACTACAGCACAACACACTGGATGAAACTGCAAAATACTTAAAAAAGACAGCAAAGACGAATGCAACCGACCAGATACAGAAGCGATGGCAAGATAAACCGCTTCATGGCCAATACCTTGCCCGTACCAAACAAGCTGACGTAGGCAAAACCCGTACCCATCAGTGGCTACACAGTGCAGGGTTGGAAGCTGAAACTGAAGATTTTATCCTTGCTGCACAGGACCAATGCTTGCTAACTAGGAATTATCAAGCACATATACTAAAATATTGTGTCAGCCCAAAATGCAGATTCTGTGATAAATATCCAGAAACGATTTATCATCTTGTATCAGGTTGCACAATATTGGCACCCACTGAATATAAAACACGGCATGACAGAGTGGGCCAATATCTGCACTGGAAAATCTGCAACTTCTACGGGAAGAAAACTGAAAGAAACTGGTATGATCACCAACCAGACCCGGTTACGGAGATAGGACCTGTTACAATTCTATGGGATTACACAATACACACTGACAGAACAATCAAAGCCAACCGCCCAGATATTGTTATTAAAGACCACAAACAAAAACGGTGCCTCCTTATTGATATGGCAGTCCTTGCTGACTGCAATGTATCTTTGAAGATATTCAAAAAGTTGTCAAAATACAAGGACCTTGAAATAGAAATCTCGAAATGTGGCATATGGGAACATCAACAATCCCTATTGTAGTTGGAGCCCTAAGACTAGTTGGAAAAGATTGCAGTAGATTAATTGAAGGGATTCCTGGAAGTCCATGCCTCAAGGAGATAGAAAAAATTGTTCTGACAAGTACAGCCCACACTTTACGAAGGGCTTTATCTATGTATTTTTTTTTTTTTTTTTTTTGTCAGTGGAAAGTGTCATGATGCAATTTCTAACCTTAGGTCCCTGGCCGGAACCCGGAAAGAAATGTGTAAACGCCAGAAGTCAAAGAAAATAAAAATAAAAATAATAATAATAATATATCAGATAGAGGGATAAGTAATGAATAGACATAGATAGATAGATAGATAGATAGATAGATAGATAGATAGATAGATAGATAGATAGATAAGCTAGTTAACAGAGAAAAATATTGTGAAAATAAATGTATTCATTAGAAAATAAGTATATATTCAAAATAAACTGCATGTAAACTCAACTTAGAAAATCAGAAAGAAAACTTATTTAATAAAAACTAAGCTGGTCGAAAAGCTCGGATATTTACGGTGACATCATAGAAATGAACCCCTTGGCACTTTGTGTTCAGGCAGAACCACCTAAAACGCTTTCTGTTCATTTGCCAACTTCCAAGAAATTCGTAGTCGCCGTGATTGCAGCAATGAACCAGATGTGCGTTTTCATTATCTTTGCCAGATTTGTTGCTGCGATTTTAATTTTATTTCTCCGTCTGGAAAGGTAATTGGAATATTTATACTTGGTTCCTGTTGCATAACATTACATTTGAACGTCTCCGATTTATAGCCTGATCAAGATGTGGCCTTTTGCGCAGCTTTATATATGAGTGACTACTGGGCACCTCGACGTGGTGTAATGGTTAGAAAGCTTGTTTTGCCAGATCAGTTACGACTGAGTAGTGAGTTCGATCCTCACTGGGTGCCCCATACTTTCGGCCTTGTGCCATATCTAAGCCGGCCTTAGAAAATCACTATGTGAGTGACCATATCAAAACCACAAGACTCTCTCCAAAAATATTCAGGTGTTTAGACAATTTGGTAAAACTGGTTGAGCTGAGATCTTTCCAACATACAGTTGTATCTATCGCTGTTTCTATCTGTCTGTCTCTATCTCTCTCTCTCTCTCTCTATATATATATATATATATATATATATATACATACACACACACACACACACACACACACACACACATATATATATATATATATATATATATATATATATATATATATAGATAAATATATATTTCCAAGGGATAGAATCCAGGTAGAATTCAATGTCCAGACAGAGTAAGAATATAATAAAAAGGCTTAAACACTAATATTCCGTCTTTTATTGTGCGTAGTGTCACTACAAATGTTTACACCCGTTTCCGGAGTCGGTTTTTAGTTTAATTTAGGTCAGCGATTCAGTAATGAATTATGCATCGGAAAATAATTCCTATTTATCTGTATCTCACTCATTTAAACCGTTATATAATTCCTCTCTTTAAAACTTCTCTCTGTTAAATTTTAATCCCCATCTTCACCTTTTTAGGCCTTCCTGTTCTTCTCTCGTCTGTTACCCCCCCTCTCTATAGTTTTCATTTACTTCTCACATTCCCCCCACTCTCATACAGGTTTGAAGAATTGGATCTTAATTACGATTCCAATGTAATAAATTATAATCATGGAATATTAGTGTTTATGCCATTTTATTATATATATATATATATATATATATATATATATATATATATATATATATAGAATAGTCAGATAAATCTAGCGTATTGTTTTTACAAATGTAAACAAACACCAAACAACCGAAGTGCTCCATTTATTTTACTGAAGAGCTTTGCATTAACGCACATGACTGTTGTTTTTTTTGTTTTTTTAAATTAGCTTGTCATTCAACAGTGCTCAATTGAAAATATATTTTCAGGAGCTAATAACCAGCAACAGCAACCCTTTTGCCTTTGCTGCTGGACAGGTAGTTTTTTTTTCTAATTTTGCTCATGACCACAGTGACTAGACAAATTTCTACCATGTCTTACTAACAAAACCCTTATATATATATATATTGATTTTCCAAGCGTAGATGTGGCACAAGGCCCAAATCTTTAAGCACCCAGTGAGGATCAAACTCAGTCGTAATTGTTCTAGCGAGACAAGCTTGCTAACCATTACAACAAATCGAAGTGCCTCTCCTGTAAGTTAAATATATAGGGTGTATCATAAGTACTTTTTTCAAACTTGGAATCATGTTCCTGATCCAAAAACAAGGTTAAATATCCGTATAAACATATGTCTAAAAGGCCAACTCATACGAAAAGCATCTCGTACAAAAAGCTCATGTCCTTCGTTTGGTTCTACACACGCATGCATCCGTCGGATCTTTGACTGGCGGACCTTTTCAAATACTCCCACACGGTGTCGAATGGTTTCGAAGGCCACATCACACGTTATTAATGTCTGCTACATAAAGCACTTGTTTTAGGTGGCCACACAGGCAAAAATCCAAAGGACTGAGGTCGTGGGAACGTGCAGAGCATGGAACCGGTCCCCTCCCCTACCTATTCATCTTTCATGGTAGATGTCAGCAAGTACATTGCAAACAATGTGACCTATCATGCATGAACCATGTGCGTTTCCTATTAAAAAAGGTGCATCCTTTAGCATATCTGGAATTGTGTTCGAAATATAGAT